TAAGACTATCAGATATGCAACCATTTAGAAAGACTCTTTGCGACTTGTTGTTATGATAAGACGTAAACCAGCTCAAGGCGGCTCCGCTAGTACCGATACTTGACTTAAGACGAGCAAGCAGGATATTGCGGTGAACAGTGTCGAACGCTGCACTCAAATCTAGGAGAAGTAGAAGGGTTACATGCTTGCAGTTCATATTCATAAGAACGTCACTCTGGACCTTCAATAACGCTGCGTCAGTACTGTGACCCTTTCGGTAAGCGGATTGTAGAGTTGGATAAAAAGCGAATCGCGTCATATGACTGAGTTTGGTCAAAAACAGCGCGCTCTGTCAGTTTTGATATGAAATGTAAGTTACTGACAGGGCTGAGGTTATTCAACTGAGTCGGATGTAAGCCAGGCTTTTTAGGGATCGGAGTAACCAGAGCTTCTTTCCATTCCTCAGGGAAATAGCCGGAGGATAGAGAACGATTTGTTGGTGGGTTTTTACCACTCGCTTGGACGATTAACGGAAGGTACCAAGACTCTGTAACTTTCTTCTCTATTCTCTTCACTTCTATTGTTGCTACTACCTTCTACCACCACAGCTATTTCTCTTCTCACTTCAGCAAGGAGAGCCCTCGCATTTAATGTAAAAATCACAGACATGTTTGGGTTAGCTAACCGTGGGAATTTCCAAAACAGGATATTCAATGTGGTTAAAACTCAAGGTCAGTTTTACCAACCCAAACATGACCACCTTTGAAAATACTCGAAATAGCAATCCTTTAAAATACTCTACAACATTCATCCCCGCCTAAATTAAGCATCGTCCTCGATGCTTACGGTAAGGAAAGACTACATGAATGATAGATATGATATCGCTAATTGATACCTCTTCGCTCCATTAACAAAATAATTGAATTTTTTTTTTAATTGCCTATCAACTTAGGCTCAATCTAATCAAGCAGTCATTAATCAACTGTCGAAATTGAACTACGCTACCTGCGCACCAAAGGTCTTTGAAAATGAAGACGTTTTCGCACTCACTACTAGGTTTTGGATCTAGTTGATGACCTTGTTGTTCTGGAGAGGAAAACTCCCCAATGGGCGTCACAGCCAAAGGTGGTGCATCCTTCCGCTCGGTCTCCGTAACTCCAGGCGGCATGACATGTTGGACCTCCTTCAGAACAGCACAATCATCAATCGTTTCCACGTCAGGTGGGCAAAGGTTGCTATCCCGTAGCTGCTCGACATGTCGTTTCCAGGTTTGATCATTTACCTTGACTTTGTACAGGACTGGACCCGTTTGTTCAACGACGATGCCACACACCCATTTTGGAGCTATGCGGTAGTTGCGGACCCATATGTTCTGGTTTTGGTCAAAATACTTCAAAGTGCGGTCATAGGACTGGAGCAACCTCTTGTTAACTTCCCTTGTAACATCCGGCTTAATCAGGTCCAACCTTGTCTCAACATTCCGACCCTAGAGAAGCCGTGCAGGGCTAAGGTCAGTAGTGGCAGTGGCGCAGATAAATAAGCTAACAGAAACCTATCAAGCTTGTGATGCAGGGTTCTACTGGACTTGTCAGCCTTTACTCCTTTCTGGAAACTCTGTACCAATCTTTCTGCCTGACCATTGGTTGATGGATGGTAAGGTGCACCAGTGACATGCTTTATACCGTTCGCAGTTGCAAATTTCCTAAAGGTTTCAGACGTGAACTGTGGACCATTGTCTGACACAATCTGGTCAGGGAGTCCCATGCGGGCAAACAGAAAGCGCAGCGTGCTAACGGTTTCCTCAGCAGTAGTTATCTCCATCACAAAAATCTCCGGCCACTTGCTGTGGGCATTAATCATTACCATGAGCATCTTTCCCTGAACTGGTCCAGCAAAGTCAATGTCAAGTCTTTGCCAGGGAAGGGAAGGGTACTCCCATTTATGCAGGGGTGCACGGGCTGGATTATTTGCCAACTCCTGACATCCCTCACAGTTTAGGATGGCCCCTTCTATGTCCTTGTCAATGCTTGGCCACCCAACAAAGCCCCAGGACAAACCCTTCATCTTTACCATACGAATGTGACCCTCATAAAGCGTTTCCAAAACTCTCTCTCTCAGTTTGGCTGGGACGACTACTCTATTACCCCACATTAGAACTCCATGATGAATAGTGCTTTACTGCGAAGGATCGTGCACATATACGTTTCATAACCGCAGTTCATATATATGTATTTCATATGTTTGTTGTTTGATTTATCATCTACGGGTTTATGTCGAATTAATTTGATGGCCTGCTCCCAGTTGGCTTGTTAGCTCAATTGGTAGAGCGCTGCACTAGTATCGCAGAGGTCAGTGGTTCGAATCCCGTACAGGCCTGAATTTTTTTTCAGGTCTGATTTTCACTATTGCTTAAATAGTGCTTTACTGCGAAGGATCGTGCACATATACGTTTCATAACCGCAGTTCATATATATGTATTTCATATGTTTGTTGTTTGATTTATCATCTACGGGTTTATGTCGAATTAATTTGATGGCCTGCTCCCAGTTGGCTTGTTAGCTCAATTGGTAGAGCGCTGCACTAGTATCGCAGAGGTCAGTGGTTCGAATCCCGTACAGGCCTGAATTTTTTTTCAGGTCTGATTTTCACTATTGCTTAAATAGTGCTTTACTGCGAAGGATCGTGCACATATACGTTTCATAACCGCAGTTCATATATATGTATTTCATATGTTTGTTGTTTGATTTATCATCTACGGGTTTATGTCGAATTAATTTGATGGCCTGCTCCCAGTTGGCTTGTTAGCTCAATTGGTAGAGCGCTGCACTAGTATCGCAGAGGTCAGTGGTTCGAATCCCGTACAGGCCTGAATTTTTTTTCAGGTCTGATTTTCACTATTGCTTAAATAGTGCTTTACTGCGAAGGATCGTGCACATATACGTTTCATAACCGCAGTTCATATATATGTATTTCATATGTTTGTTGTTTGATTTATCATCTACGGGTTTATGTCGAATTAATTTGATGGCCTGCTCCCAGTTGGCTTGTTAGCTCAATTGGTAGAGCGCTGCACTAGTATCGCAGAGGTCAGTGGTTCGAATCCCGTACAGGCCTGAATTTTTTTTCAGGTCTGATTTTCACTATTGCTTAAATAGTGCTTTACTGCGAAGGATCGTGCACATATACGTTTCATAACCGCAGTTCATATATATGTATTTCATATGTTTGTTGTTTGATTTATCATCTACGGGTTTATGTCGAATTAATTTGATGGCCTGCTCCCAGTTGGCTTGTTAGCTCAATTGGTAGAGCGCTGCACTAGTATCGCAGAGGTCAGTGGTTCGAATCCCGTACAGGCCTGAATTTTTTTTCAGGTCTGATTTTCACTATTGCTTAAATAGTGCTTTACTGCGAAGGATCGTGCACATATACGTTTCATAACCGCAGTTCATATATATGTATTTCATATGTTTGTTGTTTGATTTATCATCTACGGGTTTATGTCGAATTAATTTGATGGCCTGCTCCCAGTTGGCTTGTTAGCTCAATTGGTAGAGCGCTGCACTAGTATCGCAGAGGTCAGTGGTTCGAATCCCGTACAGGCCTGAATTTTTTTTCAGGTCTGATTTTCACTATTGCTTAAATAGTGCTTTACTGCGAAGGATCGTGCACATATACGTTTCATAACAGCAGTTCATATATATGTATTTAATATGTTTGTTGTCTAAAAGAGTCAGTATTACAAGGTTCGAGGCGCAGTCTTTAACCCTAAGGAAGTATCAGCGCAGATTTTGGAAGAACTCTCAACCGCGATTAACCCTAGGGATAAGTAAATTGGTGCTGTGGGTCCAGCTTCAGATCAAAATCGTCACATGAACAAGTCTGAGATGAAACAAATTATTAGGGACGAATTTCGTGAATTAATGGAAAGCAATATCAATAGGCCCAGTGGTTATAATAGGTGCTCAAACCAGATTTTTCAGCCAAGGAGTTCCCCGTCTCGCTTTGGCGATGCCGTTTGATATGATTGTGGTCGAAAAGGACATACTTATTATTTTTGTCGCTCAAAACCTGATCCTAGGAATTTTCGTCGTGGAGCTTGTAGACAACATTTTTCTCAAAATTGGAGTAAAAAAAACTTCTGACTGGCAGTCTAAGCAGCAGGGAAACTGAATATTGCCCCTGTCTCGTTAGAAAATGAACCCGTGATGGGGGTGTCAAATGCTGTACAACAACCCTTAATGAAACTTGTATACCGAAATTTATCGGGAGGAGCGCGCAATGCTGATAAATTTGCTTTCAGTAAGGCGAAGCCTGCCGATATTTCCGTAGATGAGAAAATTAATTTAGTTCAACATGTTATTGTCAAAGATAATTGTCAAACCTCGCCAAAACATTCATCTAGTCACCCTCCGCAGAGTGTTGGACAAAAACAAGGTGCTTGTTTGGAGAGTAGTATCGTCATTATTTTGTCCATTATTTTAGCTATCGTTATTAAGGTACTTGAATTGTTTGAAGTAGTCATAAAAACTACTGTGGAAGTTCTTAAACGACCTCCGATGCATAGCAAAGGACACGCAACTTTAGTTTCAGGGGCCAGTACGCCAAATTTCTCTGCTTTGTCTGTTCAGGATAAAACTCCTGAGTGTTTATGTGAGGTCTCAAAGGAAGAACCTCCAAGTTTTAAAAGTGCTGTTGTTGAAGAAAGCAGCCTAATTTTTGAGCAAGCAGATGTTTTTGTTCATGATATGTCATGATATGTTGAGTAATGACGATATTGTTATTTCGGAGGTCATGTCACGCCACAGCGCTAAGCAAAATAAGGTACCTGATAGCAACGAAACTTTAGGTAGTGACTAATCGCCTTTGACTGATAGTAATTTAGAGAATAGTGAACAGGGGTCAACAAATTTATCCGTCTCGAAGACTTTAAATAACTTTAGCAGCAGAGCTGAAGGGGATTCTTTTGTACAGCCGATATCAAATCCCTTTAGTAGTTATCTAGAGGACAAAGTCAATAACATTTCTATTTCTTTTGCGCTCGGATGCTCTCTTCTACCTGTTAGCATAAAGGGTTATGATTTTCAATGTTTAATAGTTTCAGGAGCTACTGTCACAGCAGTAAGTGCTAAAGTGTGGCACCAGTATTTATGTCACGCTTTCCCAGAACTTAGTGTGCCTGATTCAGAAAGTGTGACTACAGTCAATACTTCTCGTTTGACTGCTGTAGGAAAGACTTCGATGGAATTTGTTATTGATTCTCGTATATTAACTTTCGAAGTATGTGTGATAAAGGACCTGTCTTTTGATGTTATACTGGGTAGGGTTTTCTTCGACGATTTTGTTTCAAAGTTGATTTCCAGAATGGATTAGTTAGTTCTCCCGCTGAGCCCAGTCCTTTTCCTTTTAAGGGTCTATGCGAAGACGACGACAGTGACTTAATTGATAAAGCCTTCGTTTCTTCGGTCCATCCCTCTCGTACCTTTGTGATTCCACCTCAGTCAGATATTTTGATCTCAGGACAACTTGAAGAACCGTCAAATAAGTATGGTATCGATGGCATGATTGTTCCAAAGCCTGATTTATGTCACCGTACGTTATTCGATTTTTGGAGCATTGGAGCTTGTTAGTGTTGCACAGGATGGTACAATCCCTATTAGGTTGGTTAATCCTTCTTTTGAACCAGTCAAAATTTACCGTAAAACTCGTCTAGCAAAATTTGAGAAGGTACCTCGCAACGTAACTACTATTGAGTTGAATGCGAACAAAAAGCTACGCGAAAGTCATTGTTCTCTTAATAGTGACGACGAACCAAAAGAATGTGATTATTCTCAATTGCCTGACTTGTCTGATAGTATTCTGTCAGCTGATTACAAAATTAAATCTCGTGATTTGTATCGTAAATACCTTGCTGTTTTCGCTTTTTCTGATGCCGAGTTAGGTAAAACATCGCTGGTACAGCACGTGATCGATACGAGTGACGCTACCCCAGTTAAACAAATGCCATATCGCACCTCGCCTGAAGGTAAAAAAGAGGTCGATAGACCAGTGAATGATATGCTAGAACGTGGAATTCTTCAAGAGTCAGTTAGTGCTTGGTCTTCATCAGTTGCTCTAGTTAAAAAAAATGGTTCTATGAGATTTTGCGTTGACTATCGTTAATTGAACAGAGTTACCAAAAAAGATAGTTTTCCTTTGCCTTTGATTGCCGATACTTTAGATACTTTAAGTGGAACAAACGTTTTCAGCACAACTGACACGAAATCGAGTTATTGGCAAATAGAGCTTCACCCTTCTTCCAGAGAAAAGACTGCTTTTGCTACGCACAACGGCCTGTATGAATTCTTGGTAATGCCTTTTGGTCTTACAAATTCTGGGTAGAGTTTCCAGAGACTTATGGGCCATATCTTGAGAGGATTGGAATATCGGTTTGCACTTATATATATCGATGATATTATTATATTTTCAAAGTCAGTCGATGAACATTTGTTCCATTTAGAAGAGGTTTTTAAGAGACTTGGTGAAGCTAATATCAAACTAAATCCAAAGAAGTGTGATTTCGTTAAACAAAGAGTAGAATATATTAGTCATATCCTCACTCCTGAAGGTATTAGTCCAAACTCAGAAAAGATTCGTGTTGTGCGGGAATTCCCTACTCCAACTAATCTCAAGGAACTCAGGAATTTCTTAGGTCTCGCTAATCATTACAGGCGCTTTGTCAAAGGTTTTTCTCACATAGCCA